TCCTAATTATCTCGCTGGAGTAGGCACTAATGGGGCGTTCTCGCGCGACCTCCTCTCCTTCCTTCTCAGCCCCGCTTCGCTTCTGTCGTTCGGCCGTAGTTTCGGAGGCAAAGAGCCGTTCCTGACAATTAGGCGAGGCGGGATGGCGCAAAAACCGTTATAGGGCTTCCGTGGCACCGCGGGAAAGAGGCCGGATAAGGGAGGCTACGAGGAGGAAGCACGTAGAAGAGACGAACAGAGGGAGGTGGGGATACAAAACGTCGGAGGTCGAGAGTGCCGGCGGAAGACATTTTCCGGGCGTGACTCGTGGAGAAAGAGACTGCGTGCGAGAATTGGAGGTGCTCTAGTTTTTGCCGGGGGAGTGACTGCAGGAACGAGCGGAACACATGTGTAGCAGTTCTCGCGAGGATCTCGAGCAAATCTCGCGCGCTCGAAAACTTCGGGTGAGGTATACTATCGACAAGTGGGCAAGGCGCGAGTCGCGATGCTCCGAACTTGAAAAAGATTTACGTCTTGGTCACTGTCACTGCAACGTTACGGCATGGAGCCGATTCGGTGGTGGTACACGCGCACTAGTGCAACGCCACCTGAAATGATGAAAGTCTGCGAACAGCCTCCTATACTTTCATTGAACGTTTTCACCACTCGGGTGGTGCCAATTAACTCATCCGTCGGGCCTTAGCGTCCTCCCACGATTGAGCACGAGGCCCAGTTATATCTACGCTCGATCTCACTGCGATAACGTTGAACTTCTAGTACATGGACTACGTTATCAAATTAGTTCAGTTACGAAACTGCTCATAGACGCTGTTTGCGCAAGCAATAACCCCCCCCCCCCCCCCCCCCCCCCTCACCGCGGCTCGCTTCTATTCGCTCGACGCGCCCGACGGCTACTATGGTAACTGCGGTGTATTCTATGGAGTACGTACGTTTCGGAGCACAGCGTCTAGATGGCGTCCTACCGTACTCTATGGCAGAGCGTCATGGAAGAAACAGTTTTGAATAAAAAATCTAGATGGCGCTTTAAACGACGGGATGACCGATCTCCCCAGCCAGTCTGACTACGCCACCGCTGCCGCAATGCATCGAGAGAACTTTAGTCTTCCTGCACGTGCAACAACCCCGCTGGAGCTCTGCGCGTGTGGAGCACGAAACGGCAGGAGCCCTAGCATGCACGGCCGTCTGCCCGCTGGGAACTAAAGTTATGGGGGTGTCACGCATGCGCCGAACGCTTAGTGAGATCGGCCTATTCCCCTATTCACGCTTACAAGAACCGCCACCAATGGTTTTAGAAACGCGCAAGACACGTGCCACGAGCGGGTGCTCCACCGCCATTAGCTTCCAAGGGCCACTCGAGACACAAGCCTCGTGTACTGGCGCATTTGTCACTACTTGCAAGACGAGCGCCAGCACATCGAGGGGATTTGCATGAGGAAGATTGAAGGAAGTAGGCATAGGTACCCCCCCCCCCCCCCCCCGCCTCCCCGGCGAGGGTTTTATTCATAGCTGAGGTAACCTAGTAACGTTGTCACGGGCTTTGATTATTCCTTACCCCGCTTCACCGTACGTTAGGGTGTGGTCAAGGCCACACCACATACACCCACGTACACTAAAAGTGCGAGGTCGCGGTGCATTGACTGCATGCGGTTGCTTGGTTCAACCGATTGTAGCACAAACAAAAATACGACGAAAGCGACGACGCCGCACTTTTGTCCCATCCTTATTGATCCCATCAGCTTGTAGCGCTGGCCGCGCATGTGGGCATGTGTATCGGAAGCAGATCCGATGAAAGCTTCCGACTAAGACGCTGCTGCCTTAGCCGTGAACTGTCGGTGAAGGTCGACGGGAATTCGCATGTCTTTCATCAATTTCTCGCAAATAATGTGCATTATCAAAATTGGCACCCTACTCAGTACTCTTCACCGGTTAGGTTGGAAACTATCTATAGGACATGGCTCGAATGAAGTGGGATTTAACTTTAGTGGCTCGTTGTCATGTAAAAAGCCATAAAATAAGAGTCAACCATCAAGGCAGTTCTCGTCAGAGCGGTGGACTTTAGCCAGATCTTGTTGATGAATATTCAATCTGTATAAGAAGCCATAAGCAAAGAAAGGAGAAGTAAAGAAGAAAAAAAAACAGTAAAAGTTGGGCACTTTACAGATAGACTGAAACGAGCGTATTTTTCTGTTGACCGATGAATGCCTCTTCCTACGAAATGGCAAAATACAATGTTACTTAACGTCTGGCTCGTTAAACAAAAGAACACGTCGAACACCCTCGACCACCGACCGCAAAGCTGAAAAATAAAGGAGCCTTCAGCTGAAATATACCGAGAGATGCGGGGAGAAAAAACTTAATAAAACACGGGTACGTCCGAAATTGTGAAACGAAACGCTGCGTCACGCCATGACGATTTGCTGCCTTCAGTCATTAATTACCAAACTCTTTGTAAACATTTTTTTTTATCTTTCCCCACGCCCCGTCTCGTTCGAGACAGAGCCACACACGCAACGCGAGACTTCGCTTAGAGTTTCTTTTTCCCCAACTAGTACAAAAGCATTCCTCTCCGCTCAGGCATCCACCACGTCTGCAGCGGTACCGTATTAACTTGCAAATACACGCAACAAAGATATTAAAAAAAGCACGGGTGCAGACGAATAGCAGACCAAAAATAACGGGCTCTTAAGCCCGAACCAGAAGAAAAAAATAAATTAAAAGCCTAGAAAGAAAGCACCGGGGTTTGGGCAAAGGGAGGAGCGGGAGAGCGGGGGGCGTGCAGTGAGGGAGTCCGAGCCATCGCTGCCGAGTTCCTCTTCTCGCGCGTTTTAATCAATATCCAGCACGGCACCCGCTAACAGGAAACTGCGGCTCTCAAGCCGCCACTTTCCCTTTTTCCCTTAAGCTCGGCCCCCTCACTATCCCCCTTTGCGCGTTTTCTAGGTACTACTATCCGGCGGCGGGAGCCTACAATGCCCTTAACACTCGTTTCCGTACAACTTTTAACGCAAATCCTGTGCCTGCATGCATAATTAAAAGACAGCAGGCATCTCGGAAAAGCGGTCTTGCTAGCTAGCCCTTGCATCCACCGCGCCTTTACCACCCACCCACCTTCTCTCGCGGCTCGCTTTATTCGCTATTTTATGGCGTCTTTCTCGTACAACGTTTCTTTTTTTTACAGCCCGTCGCTCGGTGTGTCTGTGTGTGTCTGTGTAGTAGGGGTGGCGCCCGCTGGAGGGGCGCTGCATGCGAGCGGCCGACTGGGATGCCGCGCGCGGCCTCTATTGATCGGTGCCGGAAGTACGGTGCCGAGTCTCGAGCCATTTGTTTGGATTGCCGTGTCATTTGTTATTGGTAGGGCTCCCGTTTTCGCGAACGCGCTTGTGCATCATCCATGGTTGGCCAACGTGATGTAGTTCCTTGGGGCGCGATACGTGTGGGCTTCGGCGGAACCGACGGTTCTCTTGCGATCGCCAAGTGGCTGTCGTATTGAGTAATATGGCATACCTAGTCTTCGGTGGACTCGTACAAAGGACTCTTATATCAAAGAGAAAATGATTACTTGGATTTGTGCGTATACGAATGCTAGGGCATATAGGTTCAACTTTCGCCATATTCGTGTTTCGAGTGAACCTTGTGGATGCAACCTTCTTCAAACACCCACCTTTTTTTCTTTCTTTGCGATTTTGTAATTGTTATTTTGTTAGGCATTTTACGCAGTGTAGTCACTGACCGCTTAAGAAACTCAGGGCGCGACCTACTTTGTTCAAGCTTCCTACTTCCGTTTACATTCTTCGGCGTTCATACGTGATAATCCTGCAATCTTACTAGATGCGCAGCAATATTAAGATGCCCATGGGGCTTTCATCTACACTGCGGGACCTAGGGACTTGGACATCGCCATCTGCAGCAAATGGCTAGCGGTGTGGAGCTGGCCAATCGCGGCAGGCGGAGATGTCCCGATTCCCTCGTCCCGCATGGTCCCGCCGCGTAGGTTAGGGCCCCTGAACTCACCACGGCGTTTGCTCCTTAAGTTGTCAGTCATTGTGGGTGCTTCAACTAGAACGTAGGAGAGAGCGAGTCATCGCGAAAACTGTTCCTCCTAAACTTAACTACCCAAATGAAAAGCAGACCAATCGCCGATCTAGAAAAATACGCTCCCAAAGCGTTTTCCCGTCGCGATTAGTTTCTTTAGTTACTCCGCGTAATGATTTGCTACTCTATGTGCGGCATAAGGCTGCGTCTGAACAACGCAGAACCAAAGCGTTCGCGCATCAAGGAGTGTGAGGGTACTCCTGGTTCCACACACTTAATTGTGTTCTTGCTTATATTTATTTGGAAAGAGCTAAAACCTTGGTTATTCAAATACATTCTGTGACTTTTTAAAAAGGAAAAAAAAAAAGATTGAATGCGGTTGGCATTTTACTATGAACCATCTTACCCAACTATCCCCTCTGCTGCGCCACGTATCGTCGTGGACACTCGAACGCGGGGAAACAGCCGTCTGTGCTCTCTTAGCGAACCCGGTATCTCGGCGCGACGGCGGCAGCCCTCTTTGACTCCTCGCGACTTCGCGACAGCCTGGACGGCGCATTACGCGTGTGTTCCCTCAGACTCAGGGTGTCCTCACCCTACAGGGCAGGGTTTAGCGCTCAAGGTGCGCCGTCTAAAGTCGCGGTCCCCCCACTAATACATCGTACAAAAGAGTCTGCAGACACTGTCTCAGGCGTGCTTCTTTCTTGTATGATTGTCCTGTTCCTTTGGTTAGGCAAGAACTGTCTCCAGACATCTGTATAAAGCAAGCATGTTGGAACATTCGCGAGAAATTGTCCGCAAATAAATTTGTCATCTTGTCTACAGCGAAACAGCCTGTCTTTTCTACGTTGTATCTGCCGTGGGACTGCAGCTTAATTCAGATGAGCGTACTGGAATCTATTCCCCTAGTAAAGTCTCTGACAACGAACTGATTCGAGAAGGAGGAGGATGGCCTCTTGGGTACTCACCAGGACGAAGTGGAGGACCTGGATCCAGGCTGGGATGGTTCGCTCTGGGACAGACTGCTCACCCGCTTGGGCGACTGGGCCACGTGGATGGTCTCGGCCTTCTCGTGGCTCTTGGCCGCCATTCTCTGACGACACAGGTCCTGAAACGATGGCCGCCGAGAAGACACATGAGAAAGGACAGAGTGCCCGGGAACCCAACGGTCCTCAAACAGAACTGGCATAATAAAAAAAGAAAAAAAAAGGACGCGGCAGAACTGAGAGAAAAGAGGCACGCCGAAAAGAGTATCCTTGAGGTTACTGCTTTAATCGAAGAACGCAGAGAGCCATCCCTAACCTGTGCGGTGCAAAGAAAGCCCACTATTGTCGTAGGTACCCCTATACATACTTTGTTTCAATTTAAGTGCGCACCTCAGCCGACGCTAATATCTAATGGAGCCAACCACGCAGTGCCAAAAAAGAGCATCGTCATTGTGCGTTTTCTGTCACAAGCTGAACTACTCACGCAGAGCCGGAAAACGAAAACGCAGGGTCACGGTGCACTCTCTGCAAGTGATTGCACCAAATATAGCAAACGCACAAAGACGATTTGCGCCGCGACGAATTGATTTGGTGCAGCTTGATCGTCTCCATCGGGTCGTTACGTCGGCTGCGCTTGAACTTAGTGTAAAACACGGACTACACACGATTGCGAGCGGGACAACTGACCACCGGCACGTCTCCGCTCGTGCGAGCAGGCCTGTGCAATTGCAGCCTTACCAAAGCTGCGTACACGCGCCCGCTACGCGTGCTTCCGTGCATGGGGCACCAACCGGGCCGCCATACCTGCAGTCATTCGATGGCCTTTTTTTTTTATTTCTTAAGAAGGGTTCGCATCTGAAGTCCCTTCACACGCAGCGGCGAAAGCTCGAACTATTAATTGGAAGGGGAATTGCACTACCTCTCCTACCGCCCCCAAAGAACCAATCCCGAGGCAAAAAGCGTCGTGTTCATTGATGTCTGCCGCGAGTATGTTATCGGTAAGCTGTGGACCTATTGCTAAATTTTCCGAGCGTCAAGGAGAACGTGGGAAATATTAGGTCTACGCGCTGCATGTGCTGGCGTCTGCAGTCTTAACTGTTATAAAACAAGGACCTAAAACAAAGTGTTCTCTTGTACGCGCGTTCCGGAACCCCTTATTTTGGTTGTTTACTTCGAAGCTTTTCATACGGAGAAAGCGAGCGCGTGCGGCGCTTAGCCCTGTAGGAAGTATTCACTGGCGGCCATAGCTGTGCGCTCGACTGCTGAGCGCGTGCTGATGGCGAGCTTTCACAGTCCTTTTGTAACGTGTATTCCGCACCCTCAAGAATGCCGGTCTTAGCAGCCTATTAATGTTGGCTCGTTCAGAGCGTGCGCTTTAGACATCACCCACAAATATGGCGCCCAGTGAATTCTCCTTATAGTTCGGTACGAGTGCAACTAGAGTTCCTGTATAGGCTCTATACGGGAGCCAAAGTTGCGCGTCTGTTTTCCACGTGCCGCCGCGCCGCTATTCGCCAAGATCTGATCACGTAAGGAGCCGGATCAAATCAACACCACCTAGACAGAAGGCCTCCACACGCGTCATCATAGTCAGATCGATCGAGGCGAGAGATTGGACACGAGTGCTGCGTCAGTGTTCGGCTGCGGCTCGTGGCCAATCAGCGCGTCGAAGGTCGGGCTCGGCTCCAATAGCCGACCGAGCGCGATCCGACTGTGATGACGTTTCATAGAGGAAGAGGAAACCATGCGGAGGCCTTGTGTCTAGGTGGTGTTGATCAAATGCCGTGCAGGAAAGTAGACGTTGCGCGCGCCCCGGCGTACGTTCCCCTGCTTTTGAGCGCGCGCGCGCCTCGAACGCGCGGCTCCGCTATTCGCCGAATTCGGTCGCGTGAGGAGCAGGATCAACATGCCTCGCAGCAAGGACGGCGCTACGGGGATGAACGCGCAACTCTGGCTCCCGTAGGGAGCCTATACAGGAACTCTAGGTGCAACCTAAGAACGAAGTGTAAGCGCCGCCCACAAACCCTCCACTCTTTCCAGTGTAGCGGAACGAACGCTGGAGAGGAGGCGAGTTTCTTCTTGCCTCCTCCTCAGCGTTCGCTCCGTTAAAGCGGAAATAGTGCGGGAAAGAAGGGGGGGGGGGGGGGGGGGGGAGGGTGTTAATAGGCGGAGCTACCACTCCGCTTTTAAGTTGTACCCGACTCTACATTTCCCCGCATTCTCCCTGATGCTTGGGTAATTTAGCAATATGTCTATTATGACTGCATTGCATGCAACGCGTGGACTGCAGAGTCGATGCCGCTGTTTTCCCGTGGACGCCCGGACGTCGTGTTTGCCTCGCGAAATTGGCTCCGGTACGTAAACGCCGACTACGAGAAGACATATCTGTGTTGTGTCAGTCGATGCGCATCTGGAATTAGTGCGCATTTTCGGAACTGCGGCGTTAGGTTCCATTTCGTGCAGGGCGTGCATTGCAGAATTGTTATCTTTTTCGCATCCTTACCGTTCTTTAGAGAACATGGGTACGGGGTAAACAAATAAACCTCCATGATTGGAGGCTCATTATTCGAGGCTATCAGTGGAAATAAGCCTTTGTGCGAGGAATTAGAGACAAAACCGAACTTAACAAGGTACTGGAATAGCCCCTCATTTCACGGCGAACTAAATTAGCGCTCAATAAACATTCATACGACCAATTAAACGCGAGAATGTGAGCGTGCAACGCTGAAAAATCCGGAGCTTCGTTACCGGTATATGGTGTCGTAGATTACAATGCGGAGTATTTATGTTTTGTTTCATTAATCGAAAAGGGGTTTAATCTGTTTTCTCAGGCTTATTACAAATGAGTTGAAGCGGAGACTTAAGTTTTTGGCTAACGGATTGAGACATATTAAAATGAAAACCATCCTAAATACGTATCCATTCATAGATTGAAATGACTGACTCTCTTATCTATGCGGAGAGGTGAATGTGTGGCAATTGTTCTAGAGCGTAGTAGCTTTATCTATTTTATAATAAGTTATATTTATCGACTGTAACTCTAAAAATAACTAAATGTTTTTTTTTTCTACAAGAGATAACTAGGTTGGCGGATTCGGTCCTGCAAAACTGGAGTTTATCGCAAGTTTATTCAGTTCTCGAGGTGGACTCTGTATTGAAACTATGGTCACAAGGGGGGAATGTTAAAACGAACTCGATATCATGCGCTCTTTTTAGACCGAAACTTCGAAGTGAAATGCAGAGAAGAGGTCTTTGATGAAGAGGGATCTTGAAGGTTATGGCAGAAGGGAATGCAAAGAGTTTCAGAAAGCGAGAAGGGAACGGGGGAACCCAAGAGAGGCTGGCAAAAAGTAGTATTTGCATACTCTTTCGCGTCTCTTACTCTACAACAAATAAAAAAAAGGGCGGAAAGCGTTCTTCTTGTGCTCGATCAACTTCGCGAGAAATTTGAGAAGCATTTTCGGGGGCGCCATAAGCGCGGGAAAGCGGCGTGGACATTATGCGTAAGCCTGGCGTTGGATTGGCCCCGTTGAGGCGAATTTGAGGGCCACTTTTCGAAGACACCCGAACCAACCTAAGAGGGAAATTGAAAGAAAAATAAATATGTTCTACTACGTCGGTTTTATTTTAAATTTACATTTTCTTTTTTTTTTTTTTTACTTTTGAAAGTTTGGTTTTTAACTTTCGAGTAAATATGGTCTATAAATATAGACTAGGAAGTATATAATGCGGGGTGCGGCTTAAAGATTGTCATCGGGAATTCCGAAAGTCAATGAAAAGCTAATATAAGTACTGGTAGTTGCTGACGTTCACCCTTGGTAACGTCGAACCGCAATTATTGAAATTCAGCATCATGAAGGATTTGTTTGACACGGTTTTGTGCAGGCTGCCATGTATTAGGACGTGGCACGTCGAAATTCGCGAGAACATTATTTACGAAAGAAGAAGCGCGTGTACGACTCTGCAGAGTACACGGAAAGCACAAGGCTGCAGCCCCGTACCGCTGCGCTAAGCGGCTTCGCCTTGCGTCTCGTTCGCGTGCGATTGCACAAGTCGAAGAAGACGGGGCTTTTAAGACACACGTGACCTGTGATACCGTTAATAGAAATCTTAGTGCTGCTGAAAGCGGCTGAATTTGCAACCGCGTCCAAAAACCTGGATAAAAAAAAAGACAACGTTTGTACCATTACTAACATGAGCCGGCTACACAAAGGCGAATCATTGTGTCGAATATTTGCATGGTGGACGTCGTTCAGCCGCCTGGTGTTCCACTTCAAAGTCATTGTAGGTATATTAAAGGGGTCATGGAGCGATATCGGGTTGGAATGTTCATTACTTAACAAAGGCGTACAGGTCCTAGTTGGCCCAAGTATACCTGCACGGGCCGCCATTGATTCGGAAGCTTCTTAGTCGCGGTGAAACTGAGAGGACAAGAGGAGACTATTTCTTTCAGTCTTGTCTTTGCAAAGCTTGATGACGTAGTTGTTGGATCGAAACGACCCGCCTGACGACAGTCGAGCGCGGCTCATGGACCGGACACGAGAACTGCGTGAGCACTCAGACTCGTAACAATCAATGCCTCGGCGGACACTCGTGTCCAACCACTGCGGTGATGAGAATAGCCGAACTCTAAGAATGCCTGGAACTCAACACGCGTTTTCTACTTTGCCAACCCGAGCGCGTGGTCCTTTAACGTTGACGGCATGGGATAGGGCATCAGGACACGTGGCTGCGTGTTCTGGTTCCGAGTTGAGGGGATGAGCGATGCTCATATTTCTAAATTTATTTTAGTCTTGCCACTTTTTTTTTTAATTGCGAAAAAAAAAGTGTTTTAAAGAAGGTTTAGTCAGTTATTAACGTTATGGAGTGATTCTAAGTAGTATTTAGCGAAAGTAGAAATATCGTTTCATGACTTTCTTAAAGCCGGCGGCATATTGCTCATACATTATACAAAAAACAGTCGGGCAGGCACGAGTAACCGCAATATCTGTGGTTCGAATGCCGCCTGCCAAGTTTCTCCTTGAACTCCTTGCCATGTGGCACTCGTAGCACGGATACTTCGGTGACTTGGACCGTCCTTTGTATGGTGTATATTGTCCGAGTCCCACTCGAGCGACAAACG